CTGGGGAGGGGTGGGGGGGGGGGGGGGGGGAGCAAGTATGATGGTGAGCTCTGCGGAAGGATCTTGTTACAAGTGTTGTCATTTGAAAGCGAACAAATGAAGAATTTAATCATTTACTAATCTCTCCCCTCCCTCCCTCCCACAGTAACCTTTGACTCCTGAGTCCCAAATCCAGAGGAAACCAACCTGGCTGTGCTATCAGTGCACCCCTGAAGGAGGTCAGAACAGAAGTGTGGGGATCTTCTGTGTGTCAGATGTCACACGCCCATCATGCACAGAATTGCCCTTATTTTTATTTATTTTTGTCTTACTGACAAAAGGTAGGAGCTATGGTTTCATTTAAAGATGAAGCATTTAGACTTAATCCACTGACATCAAGTCCATTGCAACACCTAGGACAGAGCAGAACTGCCCCCTCGGGTTTCCAAGGCTATAAATCTTTATGGCAGCCCTGCTGGCCTAGTGAGCAAGGAGTTGCTCCTCCAACACAAAGGCATGGGGTTCAAATTCACCAGCTGTTCTGAGGGAGAAGGATGGGCAGTTTCCTCATGTGCAGTTTTTCTAGCAGCTGGAGGCTCAGCTATAAGTTGGTTCCAACTTGACAGCAATGAGAAAGAGAGACTGCTACATCCATTTTTCTGCCGCCAAGCAACTGGTGGTTTTAAACCACTAATTTTGAAACTCTTGTCTTGCATGCTTTGGGCACATGGCCAGGAGAGACCGGTCCTTGGAGAAGGACATCATACTCGGAAGGGTGGAGGGACAGCGCAGGAGAGGAACATCTGGGATGAGATGGATTGATACAGTGACTGGGTCAATGAGAGTTGGTGTGTCAGAATTAGTGAGACTGGCTCAGGGCAGGAAGGGTTCAGAGCTGCTGTACATAGATAGGGTTGCTATGAGTCGCAGGTGACTTGAAACATATAACAGCAACAACAACATATTATATTGGTTGTTTTTTATTTAAGTCTCTCATTTAGAGCCAACAAGACTTCGTGGAGGACCTTTGTATTTAAAAGTCTGTTGTTACTGTATTTTTGAGGAACATTCTTTTAAGTGGTCCAGTTCTTTTCTGTCAGTTTGCTGTTCCGAGGTAGCCTAGGGTTGCTGTGATGCTGAACCTTGTGCCACTGGGCTGTCAACATAACAGTTACCCATGGTGAACAGTGTTTGGTGGAGCTCCCAGTTTAAGACAGATTTGGAAGTAGGAGTGGCATCCATTTCCTCAACAACATGCCCCTGGAAACTCTATGAACTTTGAGAAATGACAATAGTTATAGAACAGGGTTCAGGTCTTTTGTTCATAGGGTTGCTATGAGTTGTGCTTGACTTGACAGCAGTCAACAACAACAACAACAATAATCTTCTGGTTAGAAATGGGACCACTGGAGTTTCTCATTTAGGCTTCTCATTGCCACCAAGTCAATTCTAACCCAGCTGGAATTGGATTCCAAGACTGTGAATTTTTTCTCCCTCCCATTCTTTGTGAGGGCAAATAGTAATGAAAGATTTATTAGAAAGTTACATCCCCAGAGGGATGGACCTTCCTTCTTGAAAAGAGATAATAAGGAGAAAAGGCCAAGACTGTGAATATTCTTTTTAATTGAGCTTTTATTGTAAGTTTATAAAGAACTTGGATTTCCATTCATTCATTATTGCATCTTTTCCTCCCAAGACTGTGAATCTTAATGGGAGGAGACTGCATATCTTTCTTCCTCAAAACTGCTAGTGGATTTGAATCCTAGCCTTTTTGTTAGGAGCTGAACATTGTATGGATTATACCACCAGAGCTCCTTCTTGTTGTTGTTGTGTGCTGTTGGGTCAGAACTGACTCGTAGCTGACCCTCCAGTGGGTTTCCAGGGGCAGTAAATCCCACAGGGATAGATTGCTCATCCTTCTTTCATGGAGCAGCTGGCAGATTCAAACCACAGGCCTTTGGGATTGCAACACTGGATCTTACCATTAGGCCACCAGAGCTTCCTTTGTTTAGGATGAGGAGGTAGACTAGCTTGGAGGAGTAAGTGGTTGAGGCCAGCACATAAGCTGAGGACCCAGCAAACACCCTTGAATGTGTTTAGCTGAAGAGACTTTAAAAAAGGGATGATTTACAGATCTGCCGGTGTGGGTGGTTCAGAGGCTCAGCAGGGGACTCTGAATAAGTTTTCCAGAAGCTTCTCTAACTCTGCTGCAGATTAAGAAATGTTAATGTTAACTTTTCTGGTTGGCCCTCGGGGGGGAGATGATGATTATGACAATAAAAATAATAATATATTTGAGGTGTTTAAAATGTGCCCAGCACTATAAAAAGGGTTTTAATGAGCATTGTTCCATTTGCTTTTTGTGGAGAACTCCTCTCACCTCCCAGCAGCTCCACACAGAAGCATCCGGACAGCGTCTCGCCTCAGGCCCTTCTGCAAATCTCCCTTCTCACCTGGAGTTTCTCTGATACCACAGCACTGGGCACCTGGACGCCCACTTGGGCGCGTATTCATGTATAACTGGGAGCAGCTAATAACTCATGGGGTTACCCTAGAGCAAGGAGTCACTGATAGCAGTGCCAAGTGAAGGTCAGTACTCCCACCTTCTGCCTCTGGTGGCTGGTCTTGGGCCTCTTTTACCACCTCACGTGGACCTATAGGAGGAATGGCACCCGTGCTGGTTTTAGGAGTAGCACTTCCACACCGGGCTTTGTTGGTTGACATTTTTATGGAAACAGATTGCCACGTCCTTATGTTGCTAGGTGGGGATATTTTTTTTTCCTCTACTAGTTTATTTACAAAAATTCAAATACAAATTTGAACAAATTCTTTCAATTTCCCTCACCACCCCCAACCATCAAATTGCACAACCCAATAATTAGTCCCCCCTCCCCCTGCACATCCACCTCCCTCTGCTTCCAGCCTCTCCTACCCCTCCTGGACCCTTATACTCATTCTACAATAACGGTTTTATACAATATTTATATTTATGTGACTGAGTTAGTTCACTCACAATAATGCTCTCCAGTTAGGAGAGCAAGTTACCAAAGTTAGGTAATTACCCAAGTTAGGTAATAATTTACAAAGTTATTGCTCCTGCATGCTGTGTAGTATTCCATTGTGTGAAATGTACCATAATTTCTCAATCCATTCATTTATGGTTGGACATTTGGGCTGTTTCCATGTTCTTGAGATGGTGAATAATGCTGCTATGAACATTGGTGTACAAATCTCAGTTTGTGCCTCAGTTCTCATATTCTCAGGATATATTCCAAGTAGTGGGATAGCTGGGTCATATGGAATTTCTATGTTTAGTTTTTTTGAGGAAGCACCAAACTGCCTTCCATAATGGTTGTACCATTTTACAATCCCGCCAACAATGTATAAGAGTTCCTTTCTTGCCACATCCTCTCCAGCATCTATTACTTGCTGCCCTGTTTAACTTTGCTGCTGTTACTGGAGTGAGATGGTACCTCATTGTGGTTTTGATTTGCAACTCGCTTATTGCCAGGGATTTGGAGCATTTGAACTGCCAGGCTTTCAGCTAGCAGCCAAGACCTATCGTGACTTGCCCCGGAACTTGTGGCTTGAGCTGGCCTGTTCTCTCAACCAGCTTCCAGGGGACCTGCCTTATACCCAAGTCAGTTGTAGATGTAGATTGTAGATGATATTCTGCCTCCTGCATTCTCTCCACCCCATAAGCCCAGGGCAGAGCTGTGCTCCAAGGGCATTCCTGGGCTGGGATGTTTCAGAAGCAGATTCTCAGGCCTTTGTTCTGAGGCGCCTCTGCATGGATTCAAGCAGATAACCTCTGGGTTAGCAGTCACTCTCCTAGCCCTCTGCACTATCCGGGGACTCTTGCTTCTATCAGGCTATTTCCTGTCATCTTGGTGGGGATGGAGTCGCAGACTTCCTGGCTGATTCCCCACCCCACCCCCTCCAGCTCTTCTCTGCTGCTCCAGTGACCCCAGCTGCAGGTCAGCTGAGGTCACCTTTAGCTTCCAGTCACAGCCTCTCCTGCCTCCCCCACTGCAGACTGCTCAGGCTCCCACACTGCTTAGGGACAGAAGCAGCCAGTCTCTTCTGGAACCTTCTGCATGGAGAGCGAAGAAAGGCCTTTAATGTGTGGAGCTCAGGGAGGGGGGCTTTCTAACTGCTGGCCTTTATGACCGGAAGGGAGACGGCTGTGGCAGGGCTCACAACTCCGCCCTCAATGTCGCCTGAGAGCTGGGGGCCCCATCCCTGACCGCCCTCTGCTTCCCGGCTGCCAGATGGAGGATGACTTTCCCAGCCTTCTGGGCCACGTGGGCAGCTGTCCTCACTTCCTCTTTGCCCCCACTGCCCTGGCAAAAACGAGGATGGGGCTTCCAACAGAGGCCAAGAGAGCTCCTACCATGTGTCCAAGCTTGGAGCTGCTCTGGGGTAGATGGGAAGGGAGATGGGGGGCCTGGGGTCCAGGAACAAGAGAGGACTAGAAGGAGTGAGCTGCTAATTCCAGAAAGGAATATCATCACTATCACCTGAGCAACCCAGCTCCTCTCCTGCTCACTGCCGTCCTATAAAGTAGATGTGATCCTAGTTTACAAACGGGGAAACTGAGGCTCCCAGAAATTACATGTCTGAGGAAGCAGAATTGGTGAGCAGCGAACCCTTAACCCTCTGGCACTAGTGCTCCCAGCAGTAAGGGAGAACTTGTACGTGGTGGGGGAGGGGGAAAGGCCAATTTGGGAACCCCAGGCCCCGTGGGGTAACCCAAGCTGGCACGGAGACCCAGCCTGAGAGTGATGCATCTGCCTGTGTTTGCATTTTCAAAGTCCCCTCCAGGGTCTCTGGACGGACGTGACCCCCAGCCTGGCCCCCCTTTTTGGGGCTGGGGTGCCCCAGGCACCTCGGGACGGGCTGGGGTCCCAGCCCAGAGCCTGCGAGGGGCCCACGAGTGGGCGGGCGCCGGGCGGGGACAAAGCCAGTGGGAGGTGGCCTGGTGCCTGCCCCCTCCCCGCCCGCTGCGACGACCGCCGAGCATGGCCGGGCGCGGGGCTGCGCTGCTGCCTCTGCTGCTCCTCGCGAGCCCGGCGCTGGCCGCGGGGGCCGCGGGTAAGGGGGTGCCGGGGCCTGGGGCGGCGGGCGTCCCCTCCTCCAGCTCAGGGGAGAGCCACCCGGCGCAGCTTGTCGCCGCCCTGTCTTGGACGGTGTCTGTCTGCCCACCCAGTGGGGCCCCGAGGGCGGGGAGCCCCAGGCCAGGGCTGGGGTCCCTGGTGAGAGGGGGGCTTCCTGTTCTGGCCTTGGGAAGACTTTCTGCAGGCAGCCATGGGGAGAGACTGTTCTGGAATCTGGAGTCTGAAGTTAATTATTTGTCTTGAGAAGGAGAAAAAAGAGGCCGGGTTGGGAGCTGACTGTCTGGTGTCTGGTCCCCTCCAGGGGACTGGCCGCAACAGAGGTCAGGACAGGAGTGACTGGGGTGGGCTTAAAGGAGCCCGGACAGTCCTCAGGCCAGTGAACCCTCCTGAGCTCTTTCTGTGGATCTCACAGTCAAGGTATCATCCTGTCTTCATCCAGGGGTCCCTGAGGACCCCCAGCTCCTCCACCCTTAATTGCTTCTGGAGGGGTGCCCTGGGTGTGCTGGGATCGTGGGAGGATTATGGGGAGACTGGATAGAAGTCAAAGAGTTCTGGTGGCAAGGAGTTGCACTGGCAAGCCAAAGGTACATAGTTCAAACCCACCGGGTGCTCTGCAATGGAAAGACGGACAGACTCCTCTCCTGCAATACTCTGCCTCTGAAAACCTGCTGAAGGGCCAGCTATGGGGAAGTTCCCAACTCACTCAGTGGTTTGCAAGAACAGGTGGGAGTCAAGCGTGAGTGGAGGGTTAATGTGCTGAGACCCTCTCCCAGGTGACCTTTGGTGATTGAGAAACACCAAGACCAGGTGTTACTGCTTGGGATGGACCAGGTTCCTATGGAGGGGCGGAGAACCCACACAACCTCAGATCTCCCTACCATTGGGCCTCACACACCGGGCGGTGTGATAGTGTCACAGTGGGACTTGGTGCTGGGAACCTTCACATGTGTCACTAGGAAAGACGGGTCAGGGGTGTGTGTGCAGATGGGAAGGAGCAGGCTTCTGGGGAGGACTGGGTAGGGATGGGAATGAACTGAAGACACGGGGAAGACCAGGAACTGTTGGGATTTGGGGGTGCAGAGCAGGAGACTAAGCCTTGGATGTATGGTTTGGGGTTGGCAATCTCCCCCAGAGAGAACATTGAGCAAAGCAGGTTTACTGGACGTTTCCTGTAGTCCTCGACCTTGAAGGTGGCCCTGGAGGAGTGGAGTCCCCTCCTTACAGGTTCGCGTTCCCAAGAAACCTTAGCCACTGCTGGCCCTGCACACACACACACACACACACACACACACACACACACACACACCCTCCCTCTGTCCCTCCCTCCTCCAAACCTTCCACTACCACCCACCCAGCAGAGTGATTGACATCTATGAGGACCAGTAATCTCCAAGCAGATTCTTTCCCACCTTTACCTTCCTCCTGTAAGGAGCTCAGGTGGCTTGGTCCTAGGGGCCTGCACTGCTAACCCAAAGTCCGAGCCTCTCTCGGTCTCCATCCACCAGTGGCTCCATGAGAGAAAGATGGGCACTCTCCTCCTGTCCAGTCCCTGGAAACCCAATGGAGGGTCAGCTATGAATTGGCTCTGACTCTACCATAAAAGTGGGAGTAAGATGGGCAATCTCCCACCTTGTGGTTAACTCCCTCTGAAAACCCTCTGGAGGGTCAACTATGAGTCGTTTCCAACTCAATGGTGCATAAGAACAAACATGGCCACAGTAAAGAGAATGAGCTACTTCCCTGAGAGGAGCCTTGGTGGTGTAGTGGTTAAGTATTTGGCTACCCTGTGTACGGCCAGTTGTTTGAACCCACCAGGGGCTTCACTGAGAGAAAGATGAGGCTGTTTGCATTCCCTAAAGACTGTCATGGGCGGCCATTGAGTTGGCCACACTTCACAGTGAGCCCACGTCCCGTGGAACCCTGGCTCCAGGGATGCCTGTGCCATCCTCGCCGTCTCTGCTGTACTTAAGCCCAGTTTGCAGTCCTTGGATATAGATCCATGCCACTCATTGCCAACGAGCCAGAAGGGTCAGTGGGGCCCTTCTACGCTGTCCTCTGGGGTTTCTGTGAGACTTGGTGACAATGTGGTGGTTTTTGGTTCAGTTTACTTTCCTGACTTCAAGGGAGAGAGTCACGTGAGGAGAAAGTGATGAACTTGTCTGAACTTGAACTCAGAGGCACCCACTTTCCTCCGGAGTCAGAACCAGTTGTCTTCCTCTCGACACCAGGCCAGGGAGGTTGAGGGCCTTATAGAGGCCCAGCACAGCCCTTCTCTACACCCTCTGCCAGGCTCACACCTGACCTGGAGGAGAATGGCCTGGAGGGAGAAGGGTCTTCTCTGGGCTTCCTCTCCTTCCATGCATCTCCCCCAGCACCCTCACGGATGCATTTCTTCCTGGGTGCTGGGTAGACATGTGGCAGGATGGATACACAGTGGCCCTCCTGACCGAATGACTCAGAGGACAGACCCAGGAAAACTGAGTAGTCCCTCACCCATAGGCCTGTGCTGGATTCTTGTGCCTTTCAGGTGGGGTCATCTCCACGGAACAACCCAGAACTGCAAACACCCACGGCCACCAGCAGCAAGTGCCTGCCCATTTCTCAGCCCTTGGGGGGGCCCTCCAGGAGCCGTGGCGCCCCCTGGAGGAGCGGCTGGGACGACTGGAGGCTGAGGTGGTGAAGCTCCAGGGGCAGGTACCCTTGGAGGCTGATCGGGGTGTGGGGGGCCCTATGAGCTTTGTCCAGTCAGTGGAGGGGAAAGAAGAGATTGGGCCTGAGGGGTCCAAGGAGCCCAAGCCCACATCTTGTCGATACGCACAGAGTTCTTACGTGACTGTCTGCTCTCCAGTTCTTCATCTGAATGGATGCAAACAGTCCCCCAGAATGTTTATTTCCTCGGTCCACATCGTATGTTTTCACACCTTTGGCAAACTTTATGAGGAATGTACTGTATATGAGTCCCTGAGCGGCCCACAAGGTTAAGCACTTGATGGTTGCGAACCATAAGTTTGGTAGTTTGAATCCACCCTGAGATGCCTCAGAAGGGCTGGCGATAAACCAGCTGTTGATGGCCTTGTGGTTCTGCTGACATGCAGAGGGGTCCAGGGCTGCCTGGAGTGCTGGCGACACTTTGGACTTGTTGGTTTTGTAGATGGATAAAGGAAGAAGTAACTGAAGATAAGTCCGTTCTGGACAAGGAAGGGCCCAGAATTCTGCAGACCCCAGGCTCTGAGAACTGGGGCTCCCTGTGGGCTGCTGTTGATGGGGAGGGCTGCTGGAGGACGTGGAGCCAGGCCTTGCTCTCCCCTCCCTCTGTCCTGCAGAACGAGGACCTACAGGCCAGGGTGAAGCAGCTGGAGACCTGTGAGTGCCGACCAGCTGGCCCTCAGTGCTGGGCACTGGGCCGGGCCTGGCCCGACGGGGACCGCTGGGAGCCGGATACCTGCACAGCTTGTGTCTGCCAGCATGGGGTTGTGCACTGCGGCCCCAAACCAGGCCTTCTGTGCCATGGTGAGTGCTGCTCAGCTGCTCTCGGGGCCACCTGAGGGCCTGCAGTTGACTCCACGTGCCCGGAGGGTTGACACTATCTCTTCTGCAGGCTGCAGCCACAAGGGTCGGGCCTATGGCAATGGGGAGACCTTCTCCCCTGACGCCTGCACCACTTGTCATTGCCTGGTGAGCTTCTGTCCCCTCACCTCTCCCTCCATCTGCTGTGTTGAATGTTAGGTAATGGATTCTGGCTACCCCTTCTCCCAAGCCTTGCCCTGGTGGTCTTTGGCTGCTTTCTGGAGCTGACCCACAACATGGTGGGCCCTCTATGGGAAGGGTGTGTGCTTGTCTTTCTACATCGCTTCTCACCTCTGTAACCCTTTCTTCCTCATCTGTCCATGGAAAAAGCCCCGGCTCCATTCCTGGAGTCTCTGCCCCGGAGAATTTACTGGCATACAGGGTCAAGAAGAGCAGAGGTGGTGGGGTGAAGGGAGGGCACCCCTCTTCTGTCTTGGAAACAGGACAGCCCACACATCTCACCCACCTCAGCCTGTTGAAACTTGGAGTGGGGTCTGGTTCTGATGGTCCTGCCTCCCTGCTTCCCCACAGGACAGGACAGTGACCTGTACCCAGAAGCCATGTCCGGGAGGACCCTGCCTCGAGCCCGGAGCCTGCTGCCCGCACTGTGAGCCAGGTCAGTCCCTGCCAACCCAGCTCACCCTCTGCATTCACGCTGGGGGACCCGTGCCTCTGCCACCTGAATGTGAGCAGGTGTGGAGGCCTGCCCACCCACTCGGACCACAGCCTTGGGAGCTCAGAGCACTGCACGTGGCTGGGGCTAGCCAGAGGCTCCATGGGACATAGACACGTGGTCTGGTTTTAATCTAGATGACGGGTTTATAACTATATATTGTTGTTATGTTCTACTGAGTCAAAACCAACTTATAGCCAACCCTTCAGTGGGTTTTCAGAGCCATAAATCATACAGGAAGAGAATGCCATCTTTCCCCGATGGAGCAGCTGGTGGATTCGAAATGCATGCCTTCGGTTTGACATTACAACTCCTTATCACTAAGCCATCAGAGCACAAGATTTAAGATCTAATTGATGGGTTAACGGGAGATATGACAGTACATTGATAACCAGCTTGCCTAGACCACCATGTCAGGGTGGGCTTCACCTGTCAGCAGGTCATCTGAGCTGGGCTAGAGGGATAAGTGGGATTTCATCAGGGCTCATCAGCTATGAGAACAGGGTGGAAGAAGGTTCCTGCAAGAACAGTCTGAGAAGGTTGGTAGGAAGAGTTTGCAGTAAGCCTTGACATTTGAACGTTCATCTGTGAGCAGATGGTTGAGGAGCCAGTGTGTGGTATACTCAAAAGGAATATCCAACTGGCACGGGCTGGATACCTGTTACTGCTGCAGAGAGTCAGCAGCGGCTGTGGGCTGCAGAACAGACAGAAGCGAGTCTGACTGGGTTACTTGGACTAGTGGAGGCTGAACTTGGTGCCAGTGACCGGAAGAGGAGAGGAGGCGTGACCGGGACGAGGGAGCTGTAGTTACCACCTCACAGTGGGGCACATGGTTGCACATTTAGTGAGAAGATGCACGGGACACTCAGTTACGTTTGAATTTCTGGGAAGTAGCCTGTGCCTCTTTTAGTGTTAAGTATGTGTCATGTAATATTTGGCGCATCCTTATACCATAACCAGAACTGGCGCAGATTTCACATATCGGGTTTGGCGTTCCTGCCTCGGCAAGACGTTCAGTTAGTTATGCGGAAGTGGGAGCCCTTCCCCAGGAGGCTGGGGAGTGAAGTCTTAGGACTGGAAGATCTCAGAGCAGAAGGACACAGAATGGGGACACACCTCACCTCAGGCCGCTGCGAGCCCATCAGATTCCTTTGGCAATTTTTTTTTAAACAGTACTTCTTCCTCAAGATGCCTATCTGTTGTAAAATGCTAGAAATAACCATCAAGTTGGTCATTTTATTGTCACCTGGTGACAAGTTGCAGTAAATAGAAAAATCACTCGTATCTGTCAAAGATGTGATATCCCCATGCTGTGCTCGTTCTTTCTCTCTTTTTTTTTTAAGGTAAAAAGTTAAAGATTTAGTAGAAAGTTATGTCCCAAAGATGGAATGGACCTTCTCCTTGGAAAGGATTTATGGAGAAGGTTCATGCTGGGCTTCTGCCCCAGCCCTCTGAGTCCCTTACCTGAGGGCCTGGTCTTGATTTTGCAGGCTGCCCTGGGGGCCGTAGGGCTGGGGAAATGTGGCATCTAGAGCCCTGTGTCACCTGTACCTGCCAGGTAAGGGAATTGGAGGCTGGGCCCAGCCACCTCCATGCCTCTGCTGCTGGGCAGACCCCAGTCTATGCAGTGCCAAATTTGGGGGCCAGGCAGGGTCTGGGTCTGGTCTGTCTCCCAAGCCTGCAGAGTGACCTGGCTTGGGCAGTGGAGGGGACAGGGAGGGAGGCTCAGTGTCTGACCCACAGGCAGGGACTGTGCAGTGCCAGAGGCCTTCTTGCCCAGACCTCAACTGCCTGGAGAGCTACACCCCACCAGGGGAATGCTGCCCCATCTGCAGGCCAGGTGACTCCCTGCCCTGCTCTGCCCTCCACCCATCCCAGCCCCGAGGGTTTCTGCCTTACCTGGGGTAAAGGCCACCTGCTCCAGCCCTGCCCTCCACCCATCCCAGCCCCGAGGGTTTCTGCCTTACCTGGGGTCATAACACTTGTCCCTGTTCTGTAGTGTCCTACTGACCATCCCTGCATCCTCCATTCCCAGGCTGTGAGTATGAGGGGAAACTGTATGAGGAGGGAGCCAATTTCCTGTCCAGTTCCAACCCTTGCCTCCGATGCTCCTGCCTGGTGAGTCTCCCCACCTGTGCCCAGGCCCTGCTGGACCCCTGCTCCACCTGGGCTATTCCTGCCACTCCTTCTGCCTAATCATTGCATGTATTTCTGGTGCCCAGCAAGGTTATCCCTCCGGCCCTGCTCTGTGCCCACGCCACTCCCAAAGACCTCTTGCATGCCCCTCTTCCTTGGGGGTGGACCTGGGCTATTTCTGATGCTGGTACATTACAGAGGAGCCTGGTTCGCTGTGTGCCCATAAAGTGCCCACCCAACCCCTGTCCTGAGCCAGTCCTGAGGCCTGGCCACTGCTGCCCTACCTGCCAAGGTAAGAGCCCCTATCGCTCTATCCCTCCCTTGTGGATGCCAGGTAGGGTTGTCATGCCAGCTATTGAACTCCAAGGTCACCCTGCACCCTGTTTGACCTCTGGGCTGCAGTCAGTAGGAGATCTGGATGCGGGAGCTCAGTTCTGCCTGTGCCATGTGATAGTTGTGTCACTAGGTAAATTATTTCAGGCTTTTGTTTGTGACATGCAGACGATGATACTCTAGTCTTCATAAGGCTGCTCAGTGAACGCTGGTTGATGTAATCTATAGAGTCCCTGGAGGGTGTAAATAGTTAATAGGCTTAGTGGCTAATGAGAGGGTTGGAGGTGAGACTCTATCCAGGGATACCTTGGAAGAAAGGCCTAGCAGTCTCCACATCATTCTACTCTGACATACATGGGGCTACCATGAGACAGAGGAGAATTGATGGTGGTGGGTTATTGTGTTTTAGGTACTTCAAACACGGGGAGAGAGCGCCATTGGTACACCACCTCTATTGTGAAGGAATGCTGAAATAGTCATAGAATAGTATAGAAATTTATACAATTAATATACAGAAACAATTAAGCAAATTAATGCATTCTCTGTTTTTCTGTTTCTGTTCTTTTTATAAATAATTTTTAATTGTGATTTTTAACGAAAGCTTACAGAAAACTTGGATTTCCATTCATTCATTGTTGCATATTTTCCTCCCTACCCCCGTCCCAAGTTTGCTTTTCTCTTGAAAAAAATCATTTATTGTTGCATAATTTCCTCCCTTCCCCGCACCCCAGGCCACTTTGCTGTGCACCTCTTGTTCTGCATTGTAGTCATGCAAATAATGTCCACTCATATATTCCTTTTTTGTCGTGGTTGTGTACCTTCAATCGGATCCAGCCAGCACAGGAGATTGCCCCTCCTTCTCCAGCGCAGCATCTCATATATTCCTTTTAAACAGTTCTTTACTTCATCTGTTCCAAGGCAGTGTTCATTACTTATCTCCACATTTTTTAGTTTTCCTCCAGCCTCCACATTAGTCCTATCTTATAATGGTGGCATTATGCATTATTTGTCCTTTGTGATTGAGTTATTTCACTCAGTATAAGGTCCTTCAGGGCCATCCATTTTGTATAATATTTTGAGAGTTCATTGTTTTTCAGCACTGTGTAGTATTCCATTGGGTGAATTTACCACAGCTTCTCTATCCTTTCATTTGTTGATAGGCCTTAGGGTTACTTCCATCTCTTTGCTGTTGTGATCAATGCGGCAACAGACATGGGTGTGCATATATCTGTTTGGGTGGCAGTTCTGGTTTCGTGCGGGTATATTCCCGGTAGTGGAATTGCTGGGTCAAATGCTATTTGTATTTCCAACTTTTTGAGAAAGAGCTATGCTGCCTTCCATAGTGTTTGCACCATTTTACACTCCCACCAATAGTGAATAAGGGTTCTAATTTCTCCACAACCTCGCCAGCATTTGTTGTTTGCTGTTTTTCTGTTTCAAAGGTTATTAAAAGCTTGCTTAAGCATTTAATGGCTTGAAAAGAAGTGTTTTCCTACTTAAAAAAAATTCTGCATTTTGCTTTCTGCTGTAAGGTGATGACGTATCCACGCACACTTTAAGGAAACCCATATACAATATTCCTGGTGGGCATTGACTGCCCTAATAGAGGCTAAAAAGGTGTAGGGAAGAAGTAGCCACTAGGTTCTGTGGAAACTTCTTCAGCTTCTGTAGAAGCTCTTCTTGGTCACACAAGGGAATGCTTCCTGGAGGTGGTGTGTCTGTCCTAAGGTGGCCTTCAGGATAGATGGATATTACCTGGGTGAAAGGCTGGGAAGGAAGGGGCAGTTTAAGCAAAGGCCTGACCTGAGACCTGACCCTCCCTGTGAGGTGTGTGTATGTTTAATGGGATAGTAACACCAGGCACGAATGGGTAAAGCTTAAATAGGAGAGGTGAGGACTGGCCACAGGTAGGTAAGGGAGATAGGTATGGCTGTGTGGAACATAGAAGGCCTTGGAGAACAAACTAAAGACTTTGGACTTATTCTAACTGGAGCAATGGGGACCCATTGACGATTCCAGGTAGAAGCATGACTTGGTCTGGGTTCAGGAGAAAGCTGAAGAGGGCATGTGGGATGGGAGCAGGCTTAGGCTGCCCGCAAGGGCTCTTGCTGGAGGCGTCCATCAGTCTCCTCTCTGTCCTGCTCCCAGGTTGCACAGAAGGTGACATTCAGTGGGAGCATGGCCAAGAGTGGACCCCACCTGGGGACCCCTGCCAGATCTGCAGGTGCCTGGTGAGTCCCCCTATTTGCCCCACCAACTGTATTCATCCCTCTAGATTCACCCCACTGTATTAATAATAAATTGTGTAGGGTCAGAGAAGGAGGACCTGTGGTCCCCACATTGTGGGCAGGGGCTGGCTCAGGCCCACTTTTCTCCCCAGACAGGAGTATTAGGTGCTGAGAATGGCCTTGTAACCTGAACTCAGAGTCCACAGGCTCAGGGAAGAAAAGACCAGGCAGAGTAAAAGGAGCAGCAAATGCTCTAAGGTGTGAGAAATGCAGATGACCTGAGGCATCACTGTCCAAATAGAGAGCTGACACTGAACACGCTTAATGAAACTGCCTGGCTGAGATAGTGCCAAAATGCACATTTGTGAAGACGTCATCTGAGAGAAAGAAATGGAAAATACATTTCTTACACTGAGAATGTGACGAGGTGATAGATAGATTGAGTTAAATAGAATATATTCTTTTTTTTTAAAGTTTATTTATTTATTTATTTATTTGTACCATCAAATCGGATCTGACTGGTACAGGAGGCGATTGTTCCTCCTTCTTCAGCAGAGCATCTGGTGGATTTGAACCGGGTACCTCTGGGATTGCAGTGCAGCTTCTTGCCACTAGGCCACCAGAGCTCGCCAGAATATATTCTTAAAATGAGTTCTGTCGGCTTCTTTTTATTTTTAAAAGTGTGATGAGTAGGAAAAAACCCGAACTCATTGCTGTCAATTCGATTCCAGCTCATGTCGACCCATGTGTCATGCGCAGACCTGTGCTGCGTGGGGATTTCTGGGCTCAGAATCCATACGCACGGCCTGCTGATTGCTCTGTTCAGCGTCAAAGGTCTAGAAAGTCTCCATAAGGAAGGTAGTTGAATGGGCTCAAGCAGGGAGACGTAAGGGAGGACACTGTGGGTGTGGAAGGTAGGGACAAGCCTCAGGAAGGAAGGTAGGGCTGGGTTTCTTGGGGGCTGACCCTCGGGGATGGCCTCCTGCCCCCACTGGAACTGTAACCTTGTTCACTCTGACCACCACCCTTCCCCCCACCTCACCTGCTCAGGAAGAGGAAGACACAGGTTGGTTGCAGTGAGCTCAGGGATATCATAGACCTCACAGGTTTGATGGCAGGGGGTGAAGGTGGTGGACAAGAGGTCTGTTTGGGAAAAGACATGGGTACGATCAGCAGCTACTGTTGATTAAGTGTCAGCTTCCACAGACAGATGACCCACAGGACACTTAGCCTTATTTTGTCACAGTCCTGGGAGGACAAGGCTGTTACTGTCCCCATTTTCAGATGAGTAAACCGAGCCTCAGAAAGTGTAAGTAACAGAAAACCAAAACCAAACCATGAACAACGGAGCAACCAAATCCACTGCGGTTTAATTCCAGTCACAGTGACCTTGTGGGACAGTGTGGAACTGCCCCTAAGGGTTACAAATCTTTTTTATTGATTGATTGATTGTGTGTGTACCGTCAAATCAGATCTGACTGGTACAGGAGGGAAATTTTCCCTCCTTCTCCGGCAGAGCATCTGGTGGATTTGAACTGCGCACCTCTGGGATTGCAGTACAGCTTCTTGCCACTAGGCCACCAGAGCTCCCCCGGGTTACAAATCTTTATAGCAGCAGACTGCCACGTCTTACTCCTGTGAGAGGCTGGGGGATTTGAATCACTACTTTTTTGGTTAGCAGGCAACTGTTTAACCACCTATCACCACCAGGGCCCTTTAACATGTTGTTGTTTTTAGGTGCCATTGAGTCATAGACGACTCATGGCAACCCTGTGAACAAAAGACCTGAGCACTATTCGTAGAGTTTCTGGAGGCAAGCCATTTCAGAAGTGTATGCCACTCCTGCTTCCAAGCTTGTTTTAATTGGGGAGCTCCACAAAACGCTGTCCACCATGGGTAACCATTATCGCATTTGAAGCATGTGTCACAGTCTTCAGCATCACAGCAACCACGAGTTACCTCTGTACAGCAATGCACAGACCAGTGCTATACCACCTTTAACATTCTAGACTAAAAATCTAATAAATGGTGGAATCTCTTTCTTCCTCCCACCTTTTAAACTTTCTTGGTGATTTGGGTGAAAATGTACAAAACTGATTACTTTCCACTCAAGAGTTCTTATACATTTTGTTTGTGGCATTGCCTGCAGTTCTTTCCATGACTGCACTCTACCCACTTCCTCCCTGTGGGTACTGTTTCCATTCATCCTTCCTTCCTACCTCGGAACTTTGTCCCTGGACAAATGCTGCCCTTTGATTTCATATGGCTGATGGTTCTAAGGAGTACATACCTCTGTGGCATTATTGTTCACCTTACAGGCCTTTCTATTTGGCTAAAAGTTAAGCCAATGCTGTGATCATTTCAAGGGTCCCACCACTCCCTGCCACATCAGTAGGCCTGGTCATTTCCATGACTTTGAGTTTTGCTCCATATTTTCCTCCCACTATCTAGGAGCTCCTTTTGTGATCCCTTTCAGAGCAGTCACACTGGGAGGTGGACACCATCTATTTTTCTGGTCTCAGAGTTGTGGAGTCTAAGGTCCTCATGATCCATTGATCCTATGGACTTACTGTTTCCATACATCTCTGACTGTCTTCACTCATCTCCAGGGAGACACTGGTAGTTACACCTTGAATCTCTTTCTGGTACTTGGCAGAGCCCTGATGGCCCCATCTCTCACTCTACCAGGAGGGCCATGTGGAGTGCCGCCAGCGGGAGTGTGCCAGTCTGTGCCCGTACCCTGCCCGGCCTCTCCCAGGCACCTGCTGCCCAGTGTGTGATGGTGAGTCTGTAAGCAGGGCAGGCGCCATCAGGATGGCCAGCTCAGGTCTCCCTGAGTGCCTGGATGAGGGTGACGAGGAGTCCCTGAGGAGGGCCCCAAGCCACCTCTCCACACAGGCTGTTTCCTAAATGGTCGCGAGTACCGCAGCGGAGAGCCTGTGGGCCGAGGGAACACCTGTGTGCACTGCCGCTGCTCTGTGAGTGGGGCTGCCCTGAGGGGCGGTCTGGCCTGGGCCTGCCTCCAGGGTGCTGACCAGGACCTGTTGGCAGAACGGGAGTGTCCAGTGTGAGCCTCTGCCCTGCCCACCAGTGCCCTGCAGATACCCAGGCAGGAGCCCTGGACAATGCTGTGCAGTCTGTGATGGTGAGTGGGGTGCATCTTGGGGAGGTCAGGCACTGGCAGGAGAGAGCCCTGTGGGTGGGGTGTGCTCCATCAGATCCTCCTGAAGCCCTGAAATGCAAGTCCAGAAAAAACCCAGCTTTGTAAACCTAAGTCTCAGCATTCATCTCACAAAGAATGGGTGTCATAGCGCCCCCTCGAGGATATGGTGGTGTTCCTTTGGGGCTGGTGGGAGGCTTTCCCCATCAGCCTCCAGCCCTGTCCCCCTTCCCCCACCCTACCAGGCTGTGAGTACCAGGGACACCAGTACCAGAGCCAGGAGACCTTCAGAACCCAAGAGAGTGGCCGCTGCGCCCGCTGCGTCTGCCAGGTAGGGGGTTTGCCAGGTGGGCCGCCTCGGCCTCCCTCCTCCAGAGCCTCTCACTCAGTCTCTCCTCCAGGCCGGAGAGGTGTCTTGTGAGGAGCAGGAGTGCCCAGTGGCCCCCTGTGCCCTGTTGGACTCTGGCCCTCAGCTCTGCTCAGGTGTGTGTGATGGATGGGGGTGAAGGAACAGCCCCGAGGGAGGGAGAGTTCTTCCATAGTGGCTGGAGATGAGGAGGAGGCAAGCCTTGGGAATGGTGAGGCCAGGGGTCTGTGGTCTGGGAAGGGCAGGATGGTGGGAGTGTTCTGGTTCCTGGTGACAGTCGCCCCACCCCCCCACCCCCAGCCTGTGTGCTAGACGGAGAGGAATTTGCCGAGGGAGTCCAGTGGGAACCGGATGGTCAGCCCTGCACCACTTGTGCCTGCAGAGGTGGGGTCCCTGTGTGTGGGGCTCTGCTCTGCCCCTCAACACCATGCCAGCACCCTACCCAGTCCTCAGGTCAGTAGCCCTGCCCCAGCCAAGCCTTTTTCCTGCCTTGTCTAGCAGATCTCTGACCAACCTGCCCCCTTCTCACACCCCAGGTGCCTGCTGTCCCAGCTGTGAGAGCTGCACCTACCAGGGCCAAGTGTATGCCAATGGGCAGAACTTCACCGACGCAGACAGTCCTTGCCACACCTGCCAGTGCCAGGTACCAGCGCCTCCCTGTACTGCCTGCTGAGACCCTCTTGGTCCCACTTCTGTTGACCCTCTAAGTCCCCATCCTCTCTGTGGCCTGTTCCTATTGCCTCCCTGAGCCCTTAGGGAGCCCACTGCCCTCTCCCCACTCCAGGATGGGACTGTAAGCTGTTTTGTGGTCGACTGCCCTCCCACCACTTGTTCCAGGCCCCAGAGCAGCCCGGGCCAGTGCTGCCCTCGGTGCCCAGGTTGGTGCCTCTGTGCCTGCCTACTTGGGCCTTGGTCCTGCTGCTACCCTGTCCTCCACAACTCACTAATCCCTCTCACACCTCTGCTTCCGGTGTGTGTACTTGGACAGCCTGAATTCTCTGGGACTCACGGGGAGGGTGTGTGTAGATTTATTTCTCTTACTTTTTCTTCCTAATCTCCATTTCCCTTCTGGTGCACCCCTATTCCAGTATATTTGGGCTTAAGTATGTCAGAGATGACGAGAATGGCACAGGATTCAGATCTGGTGTTCATAGATTTGCAGTGAGTCTTGCTCAACTCAACGGCACCTAACAACCACCACCTGTATAACACAAGTTCTTGCAGTGAACACTTGGGTCTGCCATGTGTGGAGCGTGATGCTGGGATGCCCTGTGACATAGGTCCTTCTAGGAGGTGCATATGCCACTAACACATGGGGACACACGTTGCCCCAAGACACACATGTCTGCAGGTGAACTTAAACATGCCAGCTGTGCACAGACCCTGGTGTCTGCATACACGTGCGCTAGTGCTTACACAGCACTTTCCATGGGTGCAGCTCCCGAGTGCACAAGTGTCCACAGTGGTTCGAGACCCCCCAAGGGCAGAGGGCTGGCAGTCATTCCCACCCCGTTCCTGCCCCTTGCCCAGACTGCGTCTTGGAAAAGCAAGTGTTTGTGGATGGCCAGAGCTTCTCCCACCCCCGAGACCCCTGCCAGGAGTGCCAATGCCAGGCAGGCCGTGCCCACTGCCAGCCTCGGACCTGTCCCAGGGCCCCCTGCACCCACCCTCTGCCCGGTGCCTGCTGCCAGAACGACTGCAGTGGTGTGTGACATGATTGGGGGGTCCCCTTGGGATGGCTGTGGGATCTAAGCTCTGAGGGACAGGAGCGGGATGGAAATGGGGAGGAGAGCAGGACCCCATCCCCGGCCTACAGCCGCCCCCTTTCCTAGGCTGTGCCTTCGCGGGGAAAGAGTACCCCAACGGGGCCGAGTTCCCCCACCCCTCTGATCCTTGTCGTCTTTGTCGCTGTCTGGTGAGTCTGTGACCCCGGTCAGGGAGGACCTGTGGGGAGCAGTGGCTGCATGGGGTAAGGAGTTCTCTCCTCCAGTGCTGATTTGGCCTAGAGTCGTCCATCTGTCTGTGCATCCGCAGAGCGGCAACGTGCAGTGCCTGACCCGCCGCTGCCCGCCACTGCCCTGCCCGGAGCCCGTCCTGCTGCCCGGAGAGTGCTGCCCGCAGTGCCCGGGTAAGAACTTGCCCTCAGCCTTCCCTGGGCCTCCTGGCTGCACCTTCCCTGTGCCCCTGACCTGTTCTCCTTGCAGCAGCCCACGCTGCCTGTCCTCGACCTGGGGGTGAGGTCCCTGCCCGCCACCAAGAGCACTTCTCCCCGCCAGACGACCCCTGCCGCCGTTGCCTCTGCCTCGACGGCTCCGTGTCCTGCCAGCGGATGCCTTGCCCACCCGCGCCCTGCGCCCACCCGCGCCAGGGGCCTTGCTGCCCTGCGTGTGATGGTAACAGCTATGTCGTACCCCCTGCAGGCCAGGACCGTCCCCATCCGCTGGTACCACCCCCTCTGTCCCACCCCCTCTGTCCCACCTCCTCTATTCCACCCCAGGGCCCCAGCGGCTTCTCCCTCTTCTCCTGCTCTGAGCCCCACTCCAGACCCGGCTAATCGGGTAGCTTTTCCTTCTAACCCTGCCCCAAGTCCTGCCCCAGACCCCCAACCTGGTGACTCCTCCCTCACCCCTGCCCCAGCCCCGCCCCAGGCGCCCCACCCAGTGGCTCTTCCCTCACTCCTGTCCTGAGCCCTCTGCAGGCCCCCCACCTGGTGGCTGCTCTCTCTAGCCCCGCCCATGGTTCCTCGCGCCCAGCGCCTCCTGTAGACGTTGTCATTAAGAACATGGGGGACAACGGCCATACGGCAGGGCATGGGAAGTTTTGGGACTAGTAGTAGAATCTGCCACTGCTCCAGCCCTTTCCTTCCTCTCCCCCGTAGGCTGCCTGTACCAGGGGAAGGAGTTGGCCAGCGGGGAGCGTGTCCCTTCACCCAGTGTCTCCTGTCACGTTTGTCTCTGCTGGGAGGGCAGTGTGAGCTGCGAGCCCAGGGTCTGTGCGCCTGCACAGTGTCCCTTTCCCACCAGGGACGACTGCTGCCCCGTCTGTGATGGTGAGGGGTTCGGCAGCCTCAGTGGGCCCTAATCTATTCTATGTATTATACCTATTACAGTAAAACAAAATACATGAGTGAAAACCACCGGATTCTCCCTTGCTTCTGGTGCTCTCTGACTGTCTGACCTCAGCCAAGACCTCTCTGCACCTAATTTTAATTTCTGTTTAAAAACCCAAAGTACAGAGTTGAACCAGCTCTTCTATTATCCTAACATTTTGCTAAATTTTCTAACCCACCTGTTAATCTGGATATGTACTCTTTTTCTTTAAATCAACTCAATTTTTAAATTAATTTTGTTTAGAAGGGGGGTTTTTATATCCTCCTGGAAGTGGAAAGTTTGATAGCTTGCCAGGAATAAAAGAGTTCCATGCCAGTAAATATAATTCAATATAAAATATTAAATGCTGGTCAGAGGCTTTTGCCTATTAAGGCTTTGAGCTTGGGGCCTGTTATCTTTGTTTAAAGGAGAGGTTAGCAAAGGTCAGTGTGTGGAAGGGCAGCTGAGGGCAGCTCTCAACCCCTACCACACCCTTACCCATCACGGATTAACCAGAAGACTTGAAAAGAGTACCAGAAAGGAACCCACATGACAGAGGTCATCTCGGGCTGGTCCCAGAACGCCTGGGTTGGCAGCAGCTGTTGGAGTGTCTGCCTATAGGGGCCGGTTTCTTGTGTGGACTTTCCTTCTAGATTGGACAGGGAGATTTTTGCAGGCTGCAAGGGGAGGGAGTTGGCCCTCTGGGCACGCTATCGCTCAGGGGATTCATTCTGGGTCCAGAGGCCTTGACCCTGGGCCAGGCTTAGGCTCTGAGCCCAGAATGCTCCTCTCCTCCCTCTGCTGCTGCCTCCTGCTCTTCCTTTCTCCTCTCCCTAGGCTGTGAGTACCTGGGGGTGTCCTACCTGAGCAATCAGGAGTTCCTGGACCCCAGAGAGCCCTGCAACCTATGCACCTGCCTTGGGGGCTTCGTGACCTGCAGCCGCCGGCCCTGTGCACCCCTGGGCTGCAGCCACCCACTCACCCCATCTGAGCACTGCTGCCCCACTTGCCAGGGTAGGCAGGGCTGCTGCCAGGCTCCGCTGGCTCCTGAAGCCCCAGCCTCCCAGTGGCCAAGCCACCTAGTGTGCTATCCTCATCCCATCCCTGAGACAGACACACACGGCTGGATGTCTGCCCTTTTGCTCCTGGGCATCTCCCTCACATGCACCCACCCCTCTCTGTCCCCTGTCACCTCGCATGCACCCACTCCTCTCTGTCCCCTGTCACCTCACAAATAACTGGACCTTTGCTTCCAGCCTCTCCTCTTAAGCAGCCCTTCCCCCTGTCCTTTCTAAACCCTCCCCATCGACTTTGGCTTCGTTAGCTCCACCTTTCCTTGTCCCGCCCATCCTTCCACTTCCCTAACCCCTCACCACCCTCCTCCCACTCCAGACCCCTAGATGGTAGACCCTCCCTAGGAGTCCTGGTGCCACAGTGGTTAAGCGCTGAGCTGGTAACCAGAAGGCCAGCAGGGAGAACCCGGAGGCAGCCTGCATCCTGAAGACCACAGTGTGGAGACCTCACAGGGCAGTTCCACTCTGCCCCCCGGGGTTGCTCTAAGTCGTAATCAATCTGATGGCAATGGGCTTTGATTCTGACTTTGCCCATCTCTGAGGGGCCTTGGAAAACGACATCATGCTGGGAAAGGCTGAGAGTCAGCAAAGCAGAGGAAGACCCCCAACAAAAGGGGCAGATACAGTAACTGCAGCAATGGGCTCAAGCGTGTCAGAGAGGATGTGATGGCACAGGACAGGACAGAGTTCAGGGGTGTTGTTCAAGGGGTCGCTCTGAGTGTTATTCGACTCAGCAGCACCTATCAACAACTGCAACAGGAAGCCCTGGTGGTGCTGTGATTAAAAGCTGGATGGGCTGCTAGCAGGAAGGTTAGTGGTTTGAACCCGCCAGCTACTCCAAGGGAGAAAGATTCGGTAGTCAGCCTGCTGAAGAAAGGATTTCCTTGAAAATCCCGTGGGTCAGTTCTCCTTTGTCCCTGTAGGTCACCCGCGGGTCAGAACTGACTCAGCAGTGACTAATTTAGGCCACCTCTTCACCTTTGCCACTCTGACCTCTGTGCCTGACCTCTGTCCCACCCCTTCACGTGGACACCTGGCTGCACTCTTCCACACCTCACCTCCCCCAGATATCCACTCCACCCCTCCGCTGCTGCTCCAGGCATGGCTGCCTTTGTCTGTCTGTCTGTCTGTCTCAGTGTCCTGGGGCTCAGTTTGGTGGTGCCGCCCTTTCCTCTCAGGATGCCTCTATCATGGAGTCACTGCCGCCTCTGGGGAGACCTTTCCTGACCCGCTTGACCCCACCTGTTCGGTGTGCTCCTGCCAGGTGAGACACCTTTTAGCTGCTCTGGCCGGGCCTCTATCCATGTCCCTAGGGCAAACGCTCTGCTTGTGACATCCTGTGTGCTGGCTTGTTTGACTGAGGACAGGGAGGAGGGAGGCGGACTGGGCATAGCTGGGGTGCCTACCTCAGAGCCTGGTTTTAGGGTGCGATGGAGGTGACGGGGTAGAAGTGGCAGTGTGACCTCTCTCCACAGGAAGGTTCTGTGCGTTGCCAGAAGAAGCCTTGCCCCCCAGCTCCCTGTCCCCACCCCTCTCCAGGGCCCTGCTTCTGCCCCGTCTGCCACCGTGAGCTGCTCCAATTACCCCCCCCCCCCGTCTCCCCACACTGTTCCAATCACTGAGGGCTGCTTTGACAGAAAGGCCACAAGTGGGTAGCCACACAGACAGGCAGAAAGGGATTTCCGCACATTTCGGGAGGCTAAAGTCAGAATTCAGGGCACCAGCTCTGGGGTCTCTCACATTCTTTCCAGAATTCCTCAGAGAACATCGTGTGGGTGCTGTCTTTCCCCCTTTTGTTCTTATTTCTCGGCTCTGCTCTTTTTCTGTCTGAAAAGTCTTCCAGTTTAGAGCAGATATTCAGATATGTGTTCATTACCATAACAAAGACACCCTGTTCCAAAAGGAGATTCCTACAGGATTCGTATTCAGCGCGTATTTGGAGGGACACAATTCTGTCTTAACACCCCACATCCCTGTCCTGGCTGAGTTTGGGCAGGACAGGATGGAGTTGTCTCCCACTCAGGACATGTGTCCCCACAGGCTGCCTCTCAGGGGGTCAGGAGCACCAGGACGGGGAGGAATTTGAGGGCCCTGCAGGCAGCTGTGAGAGGTGCCGCTGTCAGGTATGGTGGGGGAGGTTGCCGAGGGGCTGGGCCTGCTGGGCCTGCTGGGCTGGGCCTGGGGTGACCGCTGACTCTGCCTTTCCTGCAGGCTGGCTGGGTCAGCTGTGTGCAGCTGCAGTGCCCACCCCTGCCCTGCTCACTGCAGGTCACAGAGAAGGGGGCCTGCTGTCCTCGATGCAGAGGTATGCCTGCCCCTTGGTTGTGCCCTGGACCCCTAGTGCCCCTTCTCCAGTCTCTGTCTCCCTGTCCACTGCTCCAGGTACTCCATACCTCTGCCCCTGAGTTCTCAGCCTTGCCCACCTGAGCCCTTCCCTGCCATGGCCTGACCATCTACTCTCTGCTCTCGGTGCTGGTTAGAGGCTCCTTAAAGCTGCCCTTTCCTACCCACCTCCTTCCTCACTGTATAGTTAACATTAAGCACACACACATACTCGTGCCAGGATGCCCTCAGCACAGCCCATGTTTCCTCATTTCATCCACATCCACCTGGGTGCTCTGTTACCATCATTCACAGGTGAGAACCGTGATGGGCAGAGAGGGGACCTCTCGTTACTCAGCTAGTCAGCGGCAGCGTCACCTTTGGCATTTGGCTGTTTGGCTCCAGAATCTGAGTCTCACTTAGCCTGCCTACCATTCCCCTGACTCCAGGGACTGTCTGCTGCTGTGTTCACCCCCCCCACCCCACCCCCCGCCCAATGGCTTACCTGGTCTGTGAGTTGGTGGGGCCGAGAGACCCCTCATTTAACAGATGAGGTGACTGGGACTTGGAGCAGCTGGTTACCTTACACACAGAGGGCCACAGACAGGACCCACCTTCCCCTCACGTCCTGCACCTCCCTCCTGGTGTCCACAGTCCTGCTGACTGTGGGGCTGGGTGGGTGGGGCCTTGGATCAAGTTGACCCCTGCTCACTGTGGACCACAGGCTGCCTGGCTCACGGGGAGGAGCACCCTGAGGGCAGCAGCTGGGTGCCCCCGGACAACCCTTGCTCATCCTGCGTGTGTCGCGAAGGAGTCGTCACCTGTGCCCCCATCCAGTGCGTCAGCTCCTGTGTCCAGCCACTCCAGGGGCCCGGAGAATGCTGCCCTCGATGCCCTGGTACCCAGAAGCTGGAGTAGGGGTGGGAATGGGGAGCAGGGAGGCAGCCCCTCAACTGCTTTACTCCAACCTATTCTTCTTATCTATGTCCTGGTTAGAGGCCCAGAAGACTGGGTGACAGAAGAGAGGCTGTCAGGGAGAAGGGGCCCCCATTCTTGCACACCCCCTAATCCTTTGGGACTGGAGACGGTGGGAGTGGAGCTCCCATCACAGCAGTGCTGCCCACCTGAAGCCTCTCTGGTCCTGTCCTTCCCTTCCCCCACCCCCAAGACTGTGAGCATAAGGGTCGGAAATATGAACCAGGAGAGAGCTTCCAGCCAGGTGCAGACCCCTGTGACGTGTGCATCTGTGAGGTAGGACGGAAGTGGGAACAGAGGGTAGGTATAGAGGGGGGTGTGGGTGGGCATGGAGCAATCAGTAAGGTGGGGAGACTCCAGCAAGCACTATGGGGTCGAGACAGGATGCCTCCCTGCGGTCAGGAGGAGAGCCAGGGCTTGGCGCAAAAGGCTGGGGGTCTAGGGGTAGATGCAGCGTGTGGGAGGTGAGAGGCAGTGGGCAGGCCCCCCTTGTGGGAAAGTAGGGTGGGTTGTATAGGAGGTGGGGCACCCTGAGAAGTGACAGAGTCTGGATTGTGGAAGCTTAGTTCTCATTCTGAAAGGTGTGGGCTCCAGGGAAGGGTTTGGAGCACGCAGATGACTAGAGTTTAGCACTGGGGGTCAGGAGGAGGCCTGGCTTTGGGCATGAGTGTGCAGGAAGATCAAAGGTTGAATGGGGCTCGGGCCCAAGTGAGTGGAAGAAGGGACACAGTCTGAGAATGAAGGCAGGGAGTGAGGTCAAGTATGGAGAGGGGTGCAGCAGGCAGATGGGGACTTGGGGTTGACTGGAGACACACCTCCATCATTCATTCTTGCAGCTACAGGCTGAGGGCCCCCCCAGCCTGCGATGTCACCGGCGGCAGTGCCCTACCCTGGTGGGCTGCCCTGCAAGCCAGATTCTGCCCCCTGGACCTGAGCACTGCTGCCCTACCTGTGCCGGTGAGTCCTGTGGTGGTGGTCCAGTCCATTCTCATTCTGACTCAGAGCTGTCCTCTAGGACAGGATGGGACTGACCCTGGTTCTCCAAGGCTATGAAATCTTACAGGAACGGACTGCCACATGGTTCATCCTCAGTGTGACCGAGGGTTCAGCCACTGACCTTAACCCCCAACCCTACAGCTCCTTCTAGCTGATGGTGACCTTCTATGATGGACTAGAGCTTCTTCCGAGGCTCTCTCAGGCTGGAACCTTTATAGGAGCAAATTGCCAGCTCTTTTCTCCCTTGAAGATGCCTGTGGGTTTGGATCTTTGATTTAAGACCAAGGACTTAACATCTGTGCTACCAGGGCTCCTCCTGGGTCTCTTGTTGTTAGGGGATGTTGAACTGACTGCAATTCTATGAAAAGCAGATGTGAACCTTGTCCTAACCTGTACCATCCTCGTGATCTCCATCACGTTCAAGTTCATTGCTATAGTCACTGTGCCAACCCATCTCTTTGAGGATCTTCTCTTTTGATAACCTTTCCCAGCATGATGTCTTTTCCCAATGACTGGCTCTTCCTAACAACATATTCACAGTATGTGAGACCGAACTTTACCATCTTTGTCCTTAATGAGCACTGTGGTTGCATTTCCTCCAATACAGGTTTGTTTATTCTTTTGGCCATCCATTCAATACTCTTCTCTAACATCATACTTCAAAGGCATCAGTTCTTCCTATTCATTATCCAACTTTCAGATTCATAGGAAGCAATTGAAAATGCCATGGCTTGGATCAGGTGCACCTTAGTCTTTAAAATTACATCTTTGCTCTTAAGCATTTTTGAGAGGTCCTTGACAGAAGACTTTTCCTAAAGGAAATGTCTTTTGATTTCCTGAGTGCTGTTTCCATGAGTGTTGATTGTGGATCCAAATAAGATGAAATCACTGACAGTTTCAATCTTATCTTCTCCATCTATCATGATGCTGCCTATTGGTCTAGTGGTGAAGATTTTTGATCTTGAGATATAATCCATATTGAAGGCTCTGTTTAGTCTTTGGTCTTCTTCAGAAGATGCTTGAGGCACTGACTTAGGGCAGGGAATATACATGAGAGGGTCGAACTGTCTCACAAGCAGAGTGACCCTGGAGCAGCCAGCCTTGGTTCCCAGCCCTCGTCTTTTCATTACTCCCGTGGACTTTTCTAGAAGCCCGTGTGCTGACAATTTCTACTGCTTGGGGATGGGAGCTGCTGGAGGGTGGCAAGGCCTTCCCAGCAGGTGGCGCTACAGGACAGCAGTCGGGTGCTGAGGCTTGAAGGGGGGCAGGTGGGAGAAGCTATGCTAATCAATTTATTAGGAAGTGCATCAGGGGTGGGGAAGGGGACTAACATGTATTAAGCACTTACTGTTTGCTAAGAGGAGCTGCAGTGGACTCATACATAAGTCAGCAGTTTGAGGTCACCAGCCCCCTCTCAAGATTGTCTCATAAGATTTACAGCCTCACCCCCGCCCCCAGCCTTTAAAAACCTATTTGAGGGTCGGCTACAGTCAGTTCCAACTTGATGGCAATGAGTTTGAGGTGTTGGGGTTTTTTTGGTTTTTCTTGAGGGGGGCACATTGTATGTCTAGAAGGGAACTCTGAATCAACTCCAGGGCAAGGGTATGTCACAGGCTTTTTAAGTTCTCAGTGGCTAATCTAAAGGCTTATAGTTCAAACCTGCCAGCCCATCCGTAGGAGGACGATGGACAGATTTACAGCTTTGAAAGCCTTCTGGACAGTTCTGTCGTGTTCTAAGTGGTCAGAGAGGGTTGCTATGACTCTGAATGCACCAGGCACCTGCAGATTTGTTTTGGTATGCCACAGACTTGGTGCTTCTAGACAACAATAGCAAATGCTGTTATGCACCATCAAGTCAGAAGCAAGCCACAGCTGGCCCGCCTGTTTTTCGTCCACAGAGCACCTGGTGGATTCGAACCAGGTGCCTTTGGGTTGGCAGCACCATTCCTTACCACAAGATCACTGTTAAATGAAAATTAGAATTAAATTCTCAAGTACCCAGTGAAATAGTGTTAGTCTCACTTTACAGATGAAGAAACTGATGCTCAGAGAGGTGGATGAATGTGTCAAGACGGCACAGACACTGGGTTCTAGGGGCCATTTCAGGCAGATGTCTAATGTCATCCAAAGGCACCTAGGAAGAAAGGCCTGGTGACCCACTATAAGACCACAACATCAAACAATACTCTAAGGATAGTAGCAGTTCTGTTGTGACATGTGGGATCCCATGAGTTGGCATCAACTTGACAACCAGCATGTTCGGGTTTCAGGCTTTATATCCTAGCAAATCTCCTCATAAAGGGCCCAAACTTCCCTCTGAAGAACCAGAGGGAAATGGGACCATATTACCCTCCCTGGAGTTATGGGATTGGGGCGGGGGTGTGCCACTAGCCCAAGTCTGGGGACAGTGTACGGGGCTGGGGGCAGCTGGGCTTTCAATCCCTGTTCCCTTTCACCTCCCGCTACCTTGTTTATCTTCACAGAAGCGCTGAGTAACTGCACAGAGGGCCTGCTAGGGTCTGAGCTGGCCCCACCAGACCCCTGCTATACCTGCCACTGTCAGGTAAGCTCTCCCACAAAGACTCCACCACTTCTGACCCCCCCTTTTAACCCAACCCCCTACTCTCATGGGCCAGGCTGTGGCTCCTCTCCGCTGTCATCTCAGTACTCACCTTGTACCAAATGTCAGATGGGGCTGTGTCCACCTCTGACTCCTACGGTCCCCAGTTCTTGCCCTGTCCTGTCACCTGCAGGACCTGACCTGGCTCTGTGTTCACCGGCTCTGTCCTGAGCTCAGCTGCCCTGCGTCAGAGCGCCACATCCCCCCTGGGAGCTGCTGCCCTGAGTGCCCCGGTAGGTGCTTGCCTTGGCCTCTACCCTCAGAGTCTGAGCCCAGGTGGGAGCAAGTGGGCTGTTAGGCCCTGTTGTTTTATGGATCTGAGCCTGCCTGTATGGTGGGCAGAGGAGGCAGGGATTGGGCTGCTGGCCTGGGGCTTGTCAGTGGGCATAGAGCTGCCATGCTGGCCTCCTGACCCAGTGGAGGGTTCCACGTCAGCTAACTGGGCAGTCAGGACCCTGCAGAGGCCTGAGCTTAGGGGACTGTCTGACACTCTGTGGGCCACAAATTTTTGGTGGAGGAAACCAAGCCTGTGCTAGTGGAAGGGAGTGGAGTCCCCTTGCTGTGGGCCTACGGGGTCAACTCGAAGGGAAGAGACACAGCTACAAGACAGTGTCACCTCTTCCTCCTAGAATGTGTGATGGAGGCCGAGGGCCAGAGAGTGGCAGATGGGCAGAGCTGGCGGGACCCCAACAACCCATGCATCGTGTGCAGCTGCCGTGTGAGCTGGGGGCAGGGTCTTTGCAGGGGGACCTTGGAGGCGGGTGCTCCCGGGATTCCGCACTGAGGGGTCCTTGTGCTAAGTAGCGAAGGTGCCTCACTGACCTGGGCAGGATTTCCCCTCCTGTGTGGACATGAGTGAGGGTGGGCAGGAGCAGAGAGAGAAGGGGCAGCTGAGTCTGCTGCCTCAGTCCTTGACCCAAGAGGCTCAGAATTGTGAGGCCAGGGAACTGCAGGGGCTTGCAGGAGATCCCCAGCACAATGTCATCTGTCCCCAGAGGGGCCACGTGCAGTGTCGTCTGGAAGAGTGCCAGGGCCTCACCTGTCCCACAGGCTGGGTGCAGGTGCGCGAGCCCGGGAGCTGCTGCGAGCGATGCCAAGGTGCGGCCAAGACAACGGGTGGGGGAGGCTGGAGGTGCAAGGTGGCCTGTGACCCTCCTCCGCCCCCCTTGTCCCCACAGCCCCCTCGCAATCATGCATGCATCAGGGCCGGGAGGTGGCTTCCGGGGAGCGCTGGGATGTGGATGTCTGCATCAGCTGTTCCTGCGTGGCCGGCACCGTGCGCTGCCAGAGCCAACGCTGTCCACCGCTGTCCTGTGGGCCTGTGAGTGCAGTGGGGTGTTTGGGGGGTGGCACGTGGCACCAGGAACTTGGGACCCGGCTGGAGCCGGGGATTGTGCTGTTCCTGGAGCGGCCGCCAGGTGGCGCCGTGGGCCCGCGCACAGTCAGCCCGGAGCGCAGAGTGGACAGTGGACAGTGGACACTGGGCGG